TGTAGTACTCAGGCTGTAGTACTCAGGTTGTAGGCTGTAGTACTCAGGCTGTAGTACTCAGGTTGTAGGCTGTAGTACTCAGGCTGTAGTACTCAGGCTGTAGTACTCAGGTTGTAGGCTGTAGTACTCAGGCTGTAGTACTCAGGCTGTAGTACTCAGGTTGTAGGCTGTAGTACTCAGGCTGTAGTACTCAGGCTGTAGTACTCAGGTTGTAGGCTGTAGTACTCAGGCTGTAGTACTCAGGCTGTAGTACTCAGGTTGTAGGCTGTAGTACTCAGGCTGTAGTACTCAGGCTGTAGTACTCAGGTTGTAGGCTGTAGTACTCAGGCTGTAGTACTCAGGCTGTAGTACTCAGGTTGTAGTACTCAGGCTGTAGGTTGTAGTACTCAGGTTGTAGTACTCAGGCTGTAGGTTTAGTACTCAGGCTGTAGTACTCAGGTTGTAGTACTCAGGCTGTAGGTTGTAGTACTCAGGTTGTAGTACTCAGGTTCAGCCACCAGGTGGCAGCAGTTCTCACTTTAACAGTAAACAAGCAAAAAAAATCCTCCTCAGTTGTTTACAGATCAGAAGAAAGTGAGGATGGATGAATAAGTAAGTAAATAAATAAATAAAAACATATTGTTAAAATGAGTCGATGGGTGTACTGTCAGTTAGCTCTGGCGGCCATCTTGATTCTGTTGACTCGACGTTAGAACGTGGCTGTGGTTCCAGAGATGTTTTGCTAACAGACACAAACAGCCTGGCTTTCAGCACATGATGAATCAGTTTTATTAAATATCCAGAGTAGTGTGGGCGGAGCCTAAAGGGAGATTCCTTCCAAACCAATCAGCCCTGTGAGTGAGCAGAAAGCCAGTTCCACAGTCAACCTGTGCTCTGCTCTGCTCCCACAGTCGCCATGTACCTGGGGATCAAAAAGGGGAAGGCAAAGACGGTAAGCCCCGCTCCCTCCGGTTCACTTGGAGTATGAGGACCACCAGCTCCATGGAGCCCGGCGACATCATGCGGGAGATCCGTAAGGTCCTGGACGCCAACAGCTGCGACTACGAGCAGCAGGAGAGCTTCCTGCTGCTCTGCGTCCACGGAGACGGGCGGGCTGAGAACCTGGTCCAATGGGAGATGGAGGTCTGCAAACTGCCCCGCCTCTCGCTCAACGGCGTCCGCTTCAAACGGATATCCGGCTCGTCCATCGCTTTCAAAAACATTGCTTCCAAAGTCGCCAACGAGTTAAAACTATGAAGAGAACGTGTCAAAGTAAAGCTGTACAATCATCTGTAGCAGGTTCCAAAATCCCTTTTTTCAACTCAATCAGATGGAATGTTCTAACATAGATCAAAGCTTCTGGCAATAATTACTAATCTGAGTGACAGGAAGACTGTGGACACATTCTGCTCTTATTTATTTCACCTTGGTTTGTTTTCTGCAAGAAGAAAAGGACGTAGCTTCGTTTCTGTAAATAATGTATCTTACTTTGGAAAAAATGGCTTCAGTTTTTTTTTTTGTATTTTGTTAAAAAGTAGAAATGGAGAGTCTGTAAACGCCCACATGTTTAAAGTCACTCACATCTCAATTAAAGTTTCTGTTGACTTTAATCTGTTTGGATCTGAAGTCACTAAATCACAGCTTCTCAAACTGGGGTCCTCAAAACATTTCACTAAATTGTTAATTTGGTTTTTATTTTTAAAAATGCATGGAGAACAATGA